CATTAGGTGTAAATATTAGGTTACAAAATAGTTTGATCCCAGGTTTGTTAAAAGAAAAAAAAAAAAACAGGCACAGACAAAAGCTGGCACATAATAACACCATGTTAACAATGGTTAATTGTGGTGGAATTATGGCTGACTTTTCTTCTTTATACTTATAGTTTCTAGTTTTTCTATAATTAAGTAACTCTTAAATTGTGAATTAAAAATTGCATCACTAGTAAACAATCATGGCCAGGGAATGAGATTGCTTTGAAGGGCAGCGCTCCAGCTGGATGTAATACTTGGCGTGTTTGCATATTTTGTTTTAGAAACAGTCTTATGACTTTATAGATAGCACATAATTACACATGCAATAGCACCAACTTTCTCCTTGAGGATAGGAACTGTATCTATCCTATAAACTTTGTATTCTTAATTGTATTGTGGACAGTGCTAGTACACAGTAGGTGCTTAATACATACTTGGTAGCTTCACTATTGAGGATCCCTAGGTCCAGGGCTAACTTGATATTGTTGGGGGAGGGCAGCAGGAACAACAAAGGCTAAACCCACACTGACCATGATCCCAGGCATGAGTGCCCCTGTGATGACCCAAGGCTCGGACACTCCACTAGGCAAAGTGAATGATCTGGGGGATAAAGGGATTGGGTCACAGCCGTCAACTAAGTCAAGTTCCACAGGGAACAGAATCCATGGCTCCACCCCGTTCCTCCCCCCACCCCACCCCCACGGCCCAGTGGTGGAGGGGAGGATGCTTGTGCCCACCCACTCCTTCCACCCACCCGCCCAGCTGGACCCACGCAGCCTTACATACTGGAGTTCCGGTGCGAGCTGGCCAGACTGTGTCCAGCCATCTCAGGTGGGGGCTGGTGACCTCGGTGCAGGAACTGCTGGGAGCTGAGCATGTGGCTGGGGTGAGTGACCCGGTTCACGCTGTGCAGGACGCTGACCTGGGGCAAGAGCGGGCTCAGTGCGCACGCTCGCTTCTCCCCGCCCCTCCTCCACCCCCCGAGGGCCCAGCTCTCCCCCGCTGCCCCCCAGCTTCCCTGCCGGGGCCAGGAGTCCCCTGGGCTGCAATTTCCATCCCCACGCACCAGCAGGTTCAGTCCACCCCACCCCGGCTCCTCGCCAGCGGGGTTGGCTGTGGAAGGAAGGGGACTCTGGGTACCTCCACGACGAATTCATTGCTGGAGTAACGCCCATTCATTTCTGAGCAGGAAAGCCGGAACTTCCTGGCGTAGAGGGCAGCCCCGCGTCGCAGCCGGTAACGAGCCAGCCTCAGGATCTCTTCATACACAGTGATGCCCTCCACCCCTGGCGACCAGGAGGCAGCTCAGGGCAGGAGCCAGCGAAGAGGCCTGCAGTCTCTCTCCCAGACTCCCACCAGCTGCCACCCCTCAACAGGGGTGCGACCCGAGTTCTCAGATGGAGAGACGCTCCCCTGCATCCCCACCAGCTCTGACTGACTGGGATAGAGTAACCGAGGCTCCATTTCTGCCTCCGCCCTCCTCTGAGAGGTGGGAGGAGGGATGGAGAGAAGGAAATAGGAACACCCTGCAGGACAGAGGGAGGTGGCAGCAGGGGGTTAACGGAGAGAGGATAACACAGAAGTTCTCGGTGAGGCTCTGGAAGGGAACGGAAACAGGAAGGAACTGACCGCCTCATCTTCTGTTCTCCCTGATGGAGGGTCCTTCAGAGAGGATGAGGCTTCCCTGGGAAGCTACCAAAAAATCATTACCACCAGACGTTAAGAGATGAGCACTTGACTTAAAGCTATGCTGTATCCATGAGATTAGTGAGACGCAAGACAGAGAAGAGGGCGAGTACCAAATGGCTAGCGGATTAGAACGCTACTCAGAGGGCTTCCTTGGTGGCGCAGTGGTTAAGAATCCGCCTGCCAATGCAGGGGACACGCTTCTATCCCTGGTCCGGGAAGATGCCACATGCCGCGGAGCAACTAAGCCTGTGCGCCACTACTACTGAGCCTGCGCTCTAGAGCCCGCGAGCCACAGCTACTGAAGCCCGCGAGCCACAGCTCCTGAGCCTGTGTGCCACAACTACCAAAGCCCACGCACCTAGAGCCCGTGCTCCACAACAAGAGAAGCCACCGCAGTGAGAAGCCTGCACACCGCAACAAAGAATAGCGCCTGCTCGCTGCAACTAGAGAAAGCCCGCGCGCAGCAACAAAGACCCAATGCAGCCAAAAATAAATAAATAACTTAGAAAAAAAGAAAGCTACTCAGAGACTGAGCCAAAGAAGAGTAGGGACCAAAGTGGAGGTGAGCTGGGCTGGAGAGAGAAGCTGGGAAAGAACCATCAGGAGCCTAAACCCCAGCCACCACCTCTAGGGACAGTCCGGAAGCCAGAGGACATTCCAGGCAGGGAAGGTGCAAGGGGACACTTGGCCACATCCCTGAACCTGGAAGGAGGACCCTCTGAGTTTCCCAGAGACTTGACCATGGGGAAGGGCGCACCCAAGGAAAGAGGACAGGTTCTCGGGCCCCACTGACCGGCAATGGTGAGGTAGGCAGACGTGTTGGTGAGCTCCAAGCCTCGCTGCTGCAAGGACGCCACGTCCAAGAGCAGGCTTTCCCGCTCGGGGTCCAGGTCATCCCCCACCAGAGAAATCTCACAGCCATCCAGGTTGTGCACGATCTCATCCGACATGCGTGTGTCTGTCACTGGACAGGAGGCAGTCAGGATGTGGGTCAGAGCTGAAGGGCCCACCTCATGGCCACACTTCCTCCCCTTCCGGGGTCATCCCCTGAGAGCTGCCAGCATCACTGTCAAAAACGTCACTACCCATCAACCTTCTGACACCCGGGTGTCTCCCGCTGGCTCTCGTTCCTAACAGTCAGTGGTTCTAGAAAAGTGAATGAGGGATGTTGTCGCTCTCATGGCCAGCCCCAGGGCTTCTCCTTCACTCTGGTTCCAGACACGGACCCCTTCTCTGGACACTATCACTCCTTGAGGTCACCCTTACCTGTGCCCTGCCAACTCTCATCCTTTTTGGCCTCCACCTGGTGAGAAATGGAGCAAGTGATTTGAAGATCAGGGAACAAAGGGACCCCCTCGGGCCCCTCGAAGTCCACAGCTGGGAGGGTAAAATGAGCAGTGCCACTCAGCAGGATCTGAGGGGCATCAGGCTGGAGCACCACCACGTAGCCCTCCACGTCAGGGATGGAGACACAGGATTCTTCGCTGAAGCACCTATATGAGAAGAGGGAGAGAGGCAGCCTGTGACCCCATCACCCCCTCCCTTATAATCTATATTCTGACCACCACTCTGGGCCTCCACCTCTACAGAGAGCACCCCGTGTCAGGGAGGGAAAGGGGAAGAAAGGGGGATAGTGTGTCTCCACGACCATCACCCCCATAGCAAAGCTGGAGGGGGAGATACCCTTTCCAGGGAGGATACCACTGCAGGGAAGGGCCAGGGGCAGAAGGTTAGGCAAACCTGACCTATGGGGATGATGCCATCACCAATGCCCTACCCCAAGACTGTGGAACATCTATCAAACAGTATTTTACAAACTGAACTTACAGAAATATATAAACATACATAGTTCTTCACCCAAGATGTTAAAAAAAAAAAAAAAAAGTGTGTTCAGGTAGATACATGTCAAAAAATATTCAACAACAGGGCTTCCCTGGTGGCGCAGTGGTTGAGAGTCTGCCTGCCAATGCAGGGGACACGGGTTCGTGCCCCGGTCCGGGAAGATCCCACATGCCACGGAGCAGCTGGGCCCATAAGCCGTGGCTGCTGGGCCTGTGCATCCGGAGCCTGTGCTCCGCAACGGAAGAGGCCAAAACAGTGAGAGGCCCGCGTACCGAAAAAGAAAAAAAAGAAAAAATATTCAACAACAAAAGTGGGGTGGGGGTGGGGAGCATATCAAAGGATGCCCTCAAAACTATAATTCAAAAAGATACATACATCCCTATGCTCATAGCAGCACTATTCACAATAGCCAAGACATGGAAACAACCTAACTGTCCATTGACAGATGAATGGATAAAGAAGATGTGGTACATATATACAATGGAATATTACTCAGCCATCAAAAAGAACAAAATAATGCCATTTGCAGCAACATGGATGCAACTAGAGATTATCCTACTAAGTGAAATAAGTCAGAAAGAGAAAGACAAATATCATATGATATCACTTATATGTGGAATCTAAAATATGACACGAACCTATCTATGAAACAGAAACAGAATCACAGACGTAGAGCACAGACTGGTGGTTCCCAAGGGGGAGGGGGTTGGGGGAGGGATGGAGCGGGAGGCTGGGGTGAGCAGATGTAAGCTTTTATACATAGAATGGATAAACAACAAGGTCCTACTGTATAGCACAGGGAACTATATTCAATGTCCTATGATAAATCATAATGGAAAAGAATATTAGAAAAGAACATACATATATGTATAACTGAATCATGCTGTACAGCAGAAATTACAACAACACTGTAAACCAACTATACGTGAATTAAAAAAAAAAAAAAAAAAAAAAGGATGTCCTCCTGCTTGGAGTGTCTTCAATTCATCCCCTCCAGTATCAGAGAAACACATTTCAGTAGGTGAGCTAATCTGACCATCCTGGACCTGCATCCACCATCCCATGAAGCCTCACTGATCCTGGTGCCAGACAAACCCTCCCTAGAGGACTGAGCCAGCCCAAACCAACAATAGCACAGCAGCTCGGGGAACACGCTCCCAGGATTGCCTCCAGCCAATCAATAATTCTCAGAGTGCTTGCTGCTTTGTGAAGCATTTTGTCCACATTCTTTCATTTAAGCTTCTTTGGCTGCTGTTGCAATAGGGATAAGGAACCAAAGCTCTCGGGTCAAGCATCTTGGCCACATAAGAAATATGTGTCCCAGGCCAGGCTTGAACCCATTCTTCTCATTCCAAGTCCACAATTCTTCCACTAAACCACAGCCACTATGTGGGTTTGCATTAGTCAAATTTATTTCTAAACAAGTGCCCCCTTGGAAGTCCCTGGTGGTCCAGTGGTTAGGACGTGGCATTTTCACTGCCCTGGACCCAGGTTCAAACCCTGGTCAAGGAACTAAGATCCTGCAAGGTGCACAGCATGGCCAAAAAAAAAGGAAGTGGCCCTTGAACAAGCAGTCTTCACAGGGGAGGTGGTAATTCCAGAGCAGGGCCTGTGGTCCATACACCCGGGCTAACAGAAATGATTTTGTTGAAAGGACTATCACACATACTACCGAGCAGGCCCAGCTTGACTACTGTAGCCAGAGGGAGAAGGTGTAACCTCAGCGGATACCATGAACGCAGAGCCCCTGAAGGTACCAGACCCACAGTTTGCTGAGCTCCTGTGCCATAAGGAGCAGGGCCTGAGAGAGTCTGCACAGTCATCCAGCGAGACCCGGATCAAAGCCTCTTGGAAAACAACCCCAGCTAACTCTGGAAGCACAGACTCCAACAGACACTCCCACTGTGATGGGGGATCCAAAGGGGACCCAAAAGGTACTAAGGGGCTGGTCCAGACCCAAAGGACACTAAGGAACTGGTCAAGAGATTAGAAATGGCATGTAAACCTTAAAACAAGAGTCAACGTGGTCACCATCACATGAATGGAACAAACACAAACCCACGAGAGTTCAGAGTGGGAGAGGTTGTTTCTGGCTAGGATGGGAGTGGGGCATTTGGCAAGGGAGGGTAAGAATAATCAAGACAAGTAGCAAGTGAGCTAGCCTTTGGAGGAGGGCAGAAAGTTGACCCTAGAGTGGAGGGTGAGGAATACACGAAGGGGAGTAGAGGAACGTGAGGCAGGAAACGCTGGGCCAGATGGTCATGGGCTTTGAGCGCAAGTTTTGTGCAGTGGGCAGGAGGGAACCATGGATGTCTTCTTCAGCAGGGAAGTGTGAGGGTGGACATTCTGATTTCAGATCACTAACCTAGCCTCTGGGTAGAAACTGAATTGAAGTTAGAATACTAGAGATAGTCCACTAGTTAGGAGGCTAGAGCAATAGGCCTGATGAGAGGTAATGAGAGCTGCTGGAGATGGAAAAAGAGGAGACAGATGCCAGACATGGGCGCAGAGCGGGATCTAGGTGACCTGGTAACCGATGGGGTGTGGAGGATAAAGATGGAGGAATCAAAGGCGATTCAGAAGCTGCAAGTCGGGGTAACTGCAAGGACAGAGAAACCATTACAGAAGCAGAGAATTCAGCAGGGGGGGGGGCTAGTTCAGGCATCGAAGTTCATTATTAAGCTTTAGCTCGTTTGTCTGAGGTGCTGGCAGAACTTCTAGATGGAGGTTACAACAAGCAGGAAGAAATTCAAGAGCTAGGGACAGAGAACAAAACTAGAGAAAAAGATGTGGTAGCCAGATGAGCTTTCCGAGAATCCAAGAGATTAAAAAAACAACAACAATTTAGGGGAAAGCTGCATTGACTGAACGGATGCATAAATCTGGCTTTAAATGGACAGAGGTCCAAGCACTGAACACTGGAAGCTAGGGAAGCCACATGGACCAGGGCAAGGATATGCATCACAGGAAGGAAGGTGCCGCTGGGTATCTGTCTCTCCCTGTTTCTCACACACACACACACACACCCCTCTATATTTTCTCCTTCAACCTCAAGGAAGTGTTAGGGTAGCACTAACCACATGGTAGCCCTAAAATGGAGAAATGAGACTTCTCTCTTTCTTAACCTCATAAAGGAAAAAGGCCCCTTCCCTCTACTGAAGGACCAACGTCAGGTTCCCAGTCCTTGGATAAGCCTCTTCCCTGGGCAGGAAAGAGGTTGGGGGAATTCAGATAAGCCAGTCAACAAAGAGGGTGTCAACTCCCCCCTTGTGGGGTTGCCCCCATGCAGAGCTCCACCCTAAGCCAGAAGACAAGAGCCCTCCCTCTGACGTGGCTCCTGAGGCTACGAAGGGGATGAAGCCATTCCTTGGTCCATCCCTGAGGGATGAAGCCCTTTATACCTTCGTAGCTGGGTGAGAGCCCTCTAACAGCTAGAGTTCTGACTAGAACACGGTGAGGCGCATCCTCAGCGCAGATCGGCACCCACGTGACCTCATCTGTCGTGGCCTTCAGCTGCCCACCAGGTGCACACCATGGACCAGCAGCCCAATTCCCCAAAGCCCTGCCCCTGCCTTCCAAAGCTCTGGGAGGCCTGACAGTCATGCCCAGTCACTGTCCAGGGCTCAGAGCCCTCTCCTGTCCAAACCCACCCATGACAGGATAGGGACAAGTCAGAGATGTTTCTCTTCAGATAGCTTTTGGAGAAACTGAGGCAGAGCAGGGGAGAAGGGAACACAGGAATCCTGACCCTTACATTATGTGATCCACCCACTGGATGGCAGTAGCTCCTAAAAACTGCCCCATCAACATAATACGGGGTGAAAATGCCTTTGTATAATAATAGCCAGTGTTGACAGAACAGGCATTTCTCTGGGCATTTGATCTGGATTCTATCATTTACCCTCACAACATTTCCATGAGTTAGATTCTATTGTTATCCCTGCTCTATGGCATTTTCTCAGTGCTGAAAAGCTAGTAAGGGGCTTCCCTGGTGGCGGAGTGGTTAAGAATCCGCCTGCCAATGCCTGGGACACGGGTTCGCGCCCTGGTCTGGGAAGATCCCACATGCCGCAGAACAACTAAGCCCGTGTACCACAACTACTGAGCCCGCGAGCTACAGCTACTGAGCCCGTGTGCCACAACTACTGAAGCCTGCGCGCCTAGAGCCCGTGCTCCGCAACAAGAGAAGCCACTGCAATGAGAAGCCTGCGCACCACAATGATGAGTAGCCCCCACTCGCCACAACTAGAGAAAACCCGCGCACAGCAACGAACACCCAATGCGGCCAAAAATAAATTAATTAAATAAATAAATTTATTTTTTTAAAGCTAGTAAGCAAAAGACTCTGTGTCCATAACTCTTATGCTTTCATGACCTCTCAATCTGTATTTTTAAATACCTAATATACTTAAACCTTGAAGTAATGCACAGTTTTTCATTTAAAGAATTCAGAATCCTTCACTTAGAACTCAAAAGTCAGCAAACATCTTCTATGAAGGGCCAGACAGTAAATATTTTCGACTTTTTGTACCAGTCTCTGTCCCAGCTACTCAGCCCTGCCATCATAGGGTGAAAGCAGCTCATTTCCATAAACAGTATGCAAATGAGCAGCAGGTCAGATTCGATCCTGGGGCCATAGGCTGCCAATCCCCAGACTTAGATCATCCTGTTTGATCTTGCAAGAGCTTGATGAATCAAGCAGCTAGAGGTCTTTGCCTAAGGTCATCCAGAGAATTAGGACTGAGTCAGAATTAGTGTCAGGTCTCCTGGCTCCCAATCCAGTACCCTCTTCTGTCCCACTTTACATATCAGCACAGAGACACAGAGATTAAAACCCCCCGGGCTTCCCTGGTGGCGCAGTGGTTGAGAGTCCGCCTGCCGATGCAGGGGACACGGGTTCGTGCCCCGGTCCACGAAGATCCCACGTGCCGCGGAGCGGCTGCGCCCGTGAGCCATGGCCGCTGGGCCTGCCCGTCCAGAGCCTGTGCTCCGCAACAGCAGAGGCCAAAACAGTGAGAGGCCCGCGTACCGCAAAAAAAACAAAACGAAACAAAACAAAACAAAACAAAAAACCCCAAATCCTGGAGGTGTGCTTCAGTGGGAAGAGTCATGAACCCTTTATTGGAAAATCTGAGTCTGGTCCAGGCTCTTCTCCTAGCATTGCTGTGTCAGTTGGGCAGGTCAGTTTTTCATCCCTGAAACGAGGGAGGTGTGCCTAGCCGTCGGTGGTCCCTAAGGCCAAGGAGTTCTGACACTGTCTGGCTCTGTTCCGTGACTTGCCCGCCCACCCAACACTCACTTGACGGCAGTAGTGAGGCGCAGGGGTCTGACGCCGGGCGTGGCAAAGCGCAGAGTGTTCATGTAAGCCACATGCTGCAGGGCATGGTTGAAGGTCTCCACATCATCCCCCTCCAGGGTGAGCAGGGACTGCGAGGGGTTCACGTGGACCTGGGCCCCAGACACAGACACGGCTGAGAGCACGACCAGAGGCGGGAGAGGAAGGGAGCAGAGGTGGGGGTGGGGAAGGGCGGGGTCAGGGGGCATGCCTGGAGGGAGGGGGCTAGAGGAAGGGGCGATACCTTCATGCCTTTGCCCAGGCTCTCGAAATCCCTATAGTCCAGCCCCTCCCGACATGCATAGAGGCACTCGATGACCTCACGGCTCTCCAGGCGACCTGAGCGCACGCTGAAACCAGCCAGGTAGCCGTGAAAGTAGTGGTGGATCGGCAAGGGGTCTCCTAGGGCAGGAACACAGGGGCGGACCAGAGGTGAGAGGGGCCACAAGAAGAGGAGGCTGAGAGAAAGAGCAGCAGAGGCTGGAGAAGGGAGACGGGAAGGAGCCGGGAGGAAGCCAAAAGAAGAAAAGATTGATGAGCGGCAAGGGAGGCTAAGGGAAGATGGGACAAGGCAGAGCGAGAAGACAGAATAAAACCGGAGGTGGGCGGGGGGCGAAAAATAGAAGCCACAGAAATGAGAAAAGCTTCCGGCAGAGGCAAAAAGAGAAGGAAAGCAGGACCAAAGGGAGGAAAGAGGAGGCTCAAGGCAGAAAACGAGGAGAATGCGCGAGGCGGTCTTCACGGTGCACGCGGGGAGCACCGGGAAGGATGCGCGTGAGCTTCAGGCATGCCCAGCTCTCCCGGCCGCGTGGCTGCCTCCTGCCCTCTGCGCTCTGCCACGCGGAAAGCCAGCACGAGAACTCTCGACTTCACTCCGTGGGCAGGAAAGGACACCGGCGCCCAGCCCGGCTCCATCTGGCCGCCCTCTCCCGGGCGAGCCCGCCTGGCTGCGATGCTCGGAGGCTCTGCCCCCTGGTGGTGGGCGAGGCGGTGAACGGTGAGGCCGGGTAGGGCCATGCGGACGCGGGAGAGGGAGCCGGAGCCCTAAGCTGAGATGCGAGCTCTCCGGCCTCCAGATTTCACACGCCAAGTACCTGCTGTGGCGTCCGTGCTGTTGTCGCCTCCCTTGTCCTTCCCTTTGCTCTTCTCCTCTGGGGGAGAGAAAGTGCCAGTGAGC